TTTTTTGTGCTCTTGGACCAGATGAATACGGAAGATTTTCATCGTGTACAACCGCCAAAGAAATATGGGACAAACTTCAAGTCACACATGAAGGTACAGATGAGGTAAAGAAATCAAAAATTAGTATTCTAACGCATAGCTATGAAAATTTCAGGATGAAACCAAATGAAGACATCAAAGCTATGACGGATAGATTTTCAACGATTGTCAATGGTCTCAAATCATATGGAGAGATCATCTCAAATGAAAAGCTTGTGAGGAAGTTAGTCTACTCCCTCCCAAAATCATGGCAATCAAAGAAGACGGCAATCATCGAGTCTAAGGACCTATCGTCCTTAACTCTTGAAGAACTTATCGGTTCACTCCTCACTCATGAGATGATGCTCGAAGATGAGGTGGACCTTGATAAAGTTGAAGAGACACCAAAGGAAAAGGAGAAGAAGAAAAATATTGGAGTTGCTCTCAAATCCACAAAAGATGAGAGTGATTCTAATAATGATGATGATGACGAGGAAATGACATTGTTTGCCAAACGGTTCAGAAAAATGATGAGACCTTACCAAGGAAGAAAATTCAAACGAAACGAATGCCTCAAAAATGAACCAAAAGAGAAGGACCCAATCATTTGCTATGAATGCAAAAAGCCAGGGCATGTCAAATATGATTGCCCACAATTGAAGAAAAAGGGTCAATCAAAGAATAAGCACAAGGCTCATGTGGCTACATGGAGCGATGAAGAAATTTCCGATGAAGAGGAACAAGAAATAGCAAACTTGTGCTTGATGGCATTCGGGGAAGATTCTAAGGTAACCTCTAACTCATCCGATTTTGATGATTTATCTTATGATGAGTTATTTGAGGAATACAATGGGTTGGCTTCGGATTATGAGAAATTGTTTTTAAAATATAAAAATGATGTTTCAAAATTGAAAAATGAAAACAAACTCATATCCAAAACCAACAACGATCTTGAAAGTAAAATCAAAGATTTGCAAATCAAACTAGAAGAGTTTGAAAAGAAAAATTTAGATTTGCAAAATTTACTTTCAAAGATCAATGATGATCATCAAAAGAAAATTGATGATCTTAAAACTTCTTTTGATAAAGTTGGAACAAAACATTTTGAAAAAGGTGGAAATTCAAAATCCAACTTTGTTAGAAAAAGTTTTAGAAACTACAATCATAGAGGTCCCCAAAGAACCTCTAATGGAAAAATCATTAGAAGTATGTGGGTTCCTAAAGAACTCATAAAACAATTTCAAAATAATTTTACAAAGTATTTCGAACCAATTCAAAGCCAAAAATTCCAGATTGCTCATAGGGAACCGATTCCCCCCCATAGGAGGAACCGATTCCCCCCTGAATGGTTTGGCTCCGAGATTTCCAGAATGCTCGGAGGGAACCGATTCCCCCATAGGAGGAACCGATTCCCCCCTAAACAGTTTTGTTCCGAGAATTCCAGTATGCTCGGAGGGAACCGATCCCCCCCAAGGGGGTACCGATTCCCCCCTTGTACAACGGTCGAAATATTTGAATTTTACACTTAGGAACCGATTCCCTTCAAGGGGGAACCGATTCCCCCCACGCTCCAAGCTGTTTTATTAAATGTTTTCACACTAAAATGGCTATAATATCTTCTCTAATCATCCCCAACGTTCAGAAGTGATCCAAGGTGTATTTAAGCAAGCTTAGAAGCCATTGATCAAAAATAAGAAACATCAAGCAACTAGAATCAAGAGAGAATCAAAGAGAAAGCATCAAACCTCAAGTTTGAGCATTTCAAGCCTATTTTCATTCAATATTCATTTTGCTTTCAAGAACACTTTTTGTGCTCAATTGTATTCATCTTTGAGTGTTTTTTTCTTTGTTCTAGAATTGTGCAAACATCTTACCTTGTGAGGTTTTCTTGTAAGTTTGCAAATTTGTAATCTTCTCTTTGGGAAAAAAAGTGTTCTCAAGAGTTGGGGTATACTCTTGAGGGTATTGTAAGGTTATCTCTTTGGCCTCAAAAGAAAGAACAAATTAGTGAATTTGTTGGAAAATCCTTAGTGTGGATAGCTAAGGTAGTGGACGTAGACTTTATTTGAGAAAGTCGAACCACTGTAAATCGCTGTGCAATTACTTTCAATTTTCTGTAAAAGCTTCCACAAAAATTTTAATTGCCAATTCACCCCCTCTTGGCCGATTTCGTCAATCGATTAACTCAACAACAAGTATTAGATTTATTTATTTATTTATTTAAACAATGACAACTGGATCTTATTAATAATGGAAGGAATAAAAATTACAACGCATCAGAAAAACGAGATAAATTTGGAGACAAAAGTCACCAAAATACTCAAACAAAAGTAAGTAATAAACCTAACAATACGAAGAAAATTAAAATCTTCCGTTGAGAATGATGACCAATATCAAAATCCAATAACCTTCATATAAACTCTTTGTCTCTGTCGAATGAGACGCTTGACGAAGTGATAAAGGAGTTGAGAGGAACCAAATAATCTGGCAGACTACTTCGCTACATAATTTTGATTACATCAGCAAACAACCTTTAACCAAAAGAAGGGATCTGACTATATGTGACCACCGACTAACCAATCAAAAAATAAATGTGTTACTAGCATACTTTTTCATCTTATTGAAATTCAATATTCTTCTTAAGTGCATAAGTGTTTTTGTGCCAAAACTTTTCATGGAATATTTTATTAAGGGGGAGCTTTGTTTTTAAATGATTTATATGCTTGAATCTTTTATTTTTTTTACTTATTCTCCATTGTTGAATTATTTTTTATATAACAAAAAGGGGAGAAATAAGTGAAAAATTAAATTTCTCAAAGAAAAAAGGGAGCTTAATTTTTTTTATTAAATTCTGTTTTTCAAAATATATTTTTCTGAAGCGTAGATTTTGTTAAAAAAAATTCAAAGAAGTTTTGTTATATAAAAAAAGGAGAGATTGTTGAACTTGTATTTTGATATAATAAATATTTGTAAAATTGATTTTGGACCTAATAAAATATTTCAAAAATAATTCAAAATCCAAAATAACTTGAAAAATGTGTGTTCTTAATTGCTTTATATATATATGAAATATTTTGAGTTAATTAAAATATATTTAAAGTGTTTAAAATGTATTTAAAGCCTATTAAATATGAAAAATAATGTTCAATCACTATTTGACATTGTTCATACACGAGTATTGTTCATAGTTGGGAAACTTTGTAAGAGTTTTGAAACTTTTATTAAGAATTTGGAAACTTTACAAAAGTTTCAAAACTTTGTACACAGAAACTGTTGTAACAACCAGATTTTCTTCAACGGTCATACTTTTAAATAAGAGTTTCGAAACTTTCAATTACATTGTATTAAAAGTCTCGATACTTTCACAAGGTGTCGAAACTTTCTTCAAAGTTTCGAAACTGCATGTTCAAGTGGCCTTTATTGTATGTTTTTAAAGCTTCCCAACGACTATAACTCATCCCCAACGTTCATAAATGGCTAGCAACTCATCCCCAACGATCATAAATGGCTAGCAACTCATTCCACACAATATAAACACTCCAAGGACACTTGAAGAAGATTACTACACCTATTCAAGCTTAAAGATCAAGAGAAAAGAGTTTTTCATTCTTATTCATTTTCTCTTGTATATAGTCTATTGAGCCTTATTGAATATCTTTGTATTCATTCTTTGTGAGCTTAAACATTTGTAAACACCTAACTAGTGAGATATTCTTGTTTACCCAAATCAAATCTCGTAAAAGGGGAGTGGTTCTAGTTTAACCTTATAAAAACTAGAGAGTTGTAAAGGTTATACATCATCCTTGAAAGGTAAGAACAAATTAGTGAATTTATTAGAAAATCCTTAATATGGAGCTAAGGTAGTGGATGTAAACTTGGTTGAGAATTCGAATTACTATAAATCATTGTGCCAAATTTTCTATCTTTTATTGCTTCCGCACCAAAAAATTTTAAAGGTCAATTCATCTCCTCTTGACGGTTTTCGGCTGATCGTTTTGAGCCCAACAGTAGATCTAAAAGGTGAATCTCAAAATTTCCAACAGTATCTAACTTAGCCAACCCATCTACTGCCCTATTATTCCGCCGAGACACATTGGAAATGGATGCTCCGATCTCGCTGAACAAGATCATTAATATGAGAAACGATGGAGCTAGTATCACGGCCAGCACCATTGGATTGGAGAACTCTGGCTCCAGGCAATCCAACTCAACCACAACACAACGAAACGAAACCCCCTATACCAAGCACACCGAAGGCCAACGAAAACACCGAATTATTCAGCGTTAATAACCATGCAAGTACCACTGAACTTAAAAAATCCAAGCAACCAACGCCCTGCACTATCTCGGATAACTCCTCCACAGGCAGCGCGGAGAAAAAAGAGAATATTTTTATTTAATATAGAACTCATAACCTCAGAGAATATTAAAAAATAAAGATAAATAATTTAATCGGTCAATATATTTCTTCAACTACTTGTAAATCTTAAAAAATGTTTATAAAGGGGCCTTTAGTAGAATATGATGGCACCTTATAAATAAAGTGAAAACATGAAAAAGAAAAGCGCCACTTCAAAATAAGAGAAAATTAAAGGTGATAACAATATAAAAGACAAAAGCATCATAGTTAATTAATTTAAGAGGAGGATATATTAAATCATTGAAATAATATAAAATAATGACTATAAAATAATATTTTTTAAAAGAATTTAATATTTTACAAACATTATTATTTAAACTTAAAACATCTAAAAATATCAACTTTATTTTTATAGCTAAAATCATAGTCATATGATTGATTTAATTTTTTAAAATAAAAATAAAATTTTAATTTTATAAATAAAAACAAATTAAACGAGACAGCCTTCTGCAAAATTTCAGTCGGTCGATTGGCGTAAGTGTCAGCATCACACTCAAATCCACAGTAAAAATCTTCTCTTTACCTTTGGTTTAGTTTCTCTCTATCTCTTCCCTTCTTCGATTTATTCTTTTTCGGTCTCCCTTTTCCTCGAGCTCTGCATAAGCAGAAACGGAAGCCAAACACACACAAATAATGCTGGCGTGTTTCACGGACTATCTTAGCTTATGCAGATCTACTGCTGCAATTGGGTGCTTTTTCCTGTTGCACTTCTCTTTCTGCAGCACCATTTCCGCTGCTTGTTTGAACGGAAACTGCCAGGTTCGTTTCTTTTTTCTTCCTTCCTTTCCGTTTTCTTCCTCTGCGATCAGTTCAGTTTTGAGCTAAATTCACTAGAGATTGTTTCAGGTTCTTGACTCATGTTCCCAGTCTACAGATTGTGGTCCAGGTCTTTATTGTGGGAACTGCCCAGCTTTGGGCAAGAGTCAACCTTTTTGTACCAGAGGCCAAGCTATCATACCCACTTCTGTTGTAAGTGTTCTTCCTTTTCTTTCTTTTTGCATGCACTGGGAATGTAGTTTAAATTTGTTTCATTTTTTGGTAAGGAGGCTCTTTGTTTCCATTTCTTTTTATATTTTGGTTATGGATGGGTTTTACCATTCTGTTGTTGTTTTTTCCTCTTCTTTTGTACTTCCATTTTGTTCGCTGAGCAAATTGCTGATGGGACATTCATGTTTTTGGTGTGAATTTGGGGGCCAGATTGGTGGATTGCCTTTCAACAAATATTCATGGTTGATGACTCACAATTCATTCAGCATAGTGGATGCACCATCTCTGCAAGGTGTTCAAAGACTGACATTTTATAATCAAGAAGACACTGTTAGTAATCAGTTGATGGTGTGTACTCTCTGTTATTTTGCATCACCTTTAAATGACCTTGTTAGTTATTGCGATTCTAAGGGAAAAGACCCGGCTTCAACCAGCTTAGTCTGTAGGGTGTGTACATTAAGACTAAGAAAAAATTCTGAACCGATTCTACCTTATAATTATCAGACTAATAAAAAAAAAATTATCTAGAGGAAAGTATGAAAAGAAGAAATTGGGCATGATATGCTAAAATTACATATAGTCTAGTTAGTTGATAATGTGAAAGTTCCATTTATTTTTACACTTTGTATGATTTTGTCCGATTGGTATTAAATAGCATTTACTTAGCTTCTTTATGGTCCCCCAAACTATGGAAGCATTTCTTGTCTTTTTAAAGAAACAAATGAACAATTGATTTCTCTATATTCTAAACTTATTTGCTTTGTGGTTGGCTTCTGTCTAGAATGGAGTGAGGGGACTGATGTTGGACATGTACGATTTTAACGGCGATATTTGGCTCTGCCATTCATTCAGGGGACAATGCTTCAACTTCACTGCCTTTGTAATTTGTCTTTCCATCTTAGAAATTTAGCAGTTATAATGCATGCTCATCTTTTTAACTTCTAATTTTCAGTTTTTCGATACAATTTGCAATGTGTTGATTGGATCTTATTTAGCAACCTGCAATTAACACCTTAAGGGAAGTGGAGACATTCTTGAGTCAGAATCCATCAGAGATTGTAACCATTATAATCGAGGACTATGTGCATACACCAAAAGGACTGAGTAACCTTTTCACGAGTGCCGGTCTGGACAAGTATTGGTTTCCGGTGTCGAAGATGCCAAAAAAGGGTGAAGATTGGCCTACTGTGAATGAAATGGTGCAAGCAAATCACAGGCTTCTGGTTTTCACCTCAGTTGCTTCTAAGGAAGCGGAGGAAGGAATTGCTTACCAGTGGAAGTACATATTAGAAAATGAAGGTAATGGTTATATACGTATGATGTTTCTTTCTAGGTTCATATTGCGTACTTGCTTTCGAATATCGAGTAAACAACTTAATGATATTATGGGTTTCAGCTGGAGATCCCGGGGTAAAGTCAGGCTCATGCCCAAATAGAAAAGAATCACGGCCGCTTAATTCGAAAAGTGCCTCTCTTTTCCTCATGAATTACTTTCCGACTTACCCGGTTGAGAATGAAGCTTGCAAAGAACATTCAGCGCCCCTTGCTGACATGATTGGAACCTGCTTCAAAGCAGCAGGGAGTATGCTGCCAAACTTCATAGCAGTCAACTTTTACATGGTATTCAATTTGTAACATGTGTGCATGTATAATTTTTTGATCTAAAATATGCAAAGCACTAACACGAGATAAATCTTGCAGAGGAGTGATGGAGGTGGTGTTTTCTATGATTTGGATAGTGTGAATGGCCAAAGGTTATGTGGATGTAATACTATTGCAGCCTGTCAGGTTCGTCCAAAACTGAATTTAGTTTTTCGGGAAGCATTGGCAACTTTAGTTCCACTTTTCAGTAGTCATTCATGGGCTTATTTTGCAAAAAAAAAGAAACACTCCCCTTACTAACATTATATATTGCTGGCATCGTATCGCAAAAGAGTTTGCAATTTTTTTTTGTATACAAAACCTTCTCCAATGGTTATTGAAATCGAGGTTGCATCTCCGTAACATCTGGTTGTTGTTGCTTGCTATAGTTAGTCCAAATTCTAATGTATACGAACTTTATTTTTTCCCTTTTTTTGCATTAGATTAGCCGTGATTCCAAAACTGTTTTCTGAAGTACAGAAACATTCTTTGTTCTCTATGCTTTTACATGAGAAGAATCTAGTTCAAGGCAGGATGGGGAGTAATGGTGAACTTGGTCATGATTTATATCTTTTCGCAAAAGATAGTGTTGAAAGATACTAAAAGAAAGCCTTGGTGTGATTGTGTCCGCAGAACTACAATTTTGAACTTTATTTTGCCGTCTATTTCCTCTTAACACTTTTCTGATGGTGTTCCCCAGCAAATGGTACAGCTCAACTGACCTGATCAATTTCGAACTTGTTCTTGTACAGGCTGGAGCACCATTTGGATCTTGCAAGAACATATCTATGCCTTCTTCAAGTCCAATGACCAGCGCTGCAGGAAGCTTTTCCGGATCTGTTCAGTTCTCAAAATCTGCTTCAGCAGTCAGATATCCTAATCACTTTGTCATCGGCTTACTTTCCATGCCATGTATGTTGTTTTTGTTGCGACTATAATAGATAACTCTCAGGATAGCTTTTATAGTTTTACGAGGACTTATATATAATGTCAGATTTTTCGAGTCAAGGCTTAGTATACAGCACCCTGCCTTATTAGGTGGAAGGTCAAGGAATGCTTGTTAGAGTCATTACAATTTGATTATAAATCAAAGACCTCTTGTGATTCGAGGCAAAATCAAATGGTTGTATGAGAACCTGAGCTAGGAAGTGACCAAAGAGAGACTTGCAATGTAATGAAATAGTAGTTAAAATATGTAATTTGCTACACTAGTATGATTTCCCTTAACAATATCGGGACTATCGCATACGTTGGGAGGGTTTGGGACACCTCACAAATCCTAATTAATATCAATATTTGATGAATAGGTGGGGTTTGATCGGAATTTGAAGTTGAAGCAGGCCAACAAAATTCTTGCAAAATGCCAAGTTTTCGATATTCGTTGGTAAATGTATATTGAATTATCTGTACATGTGGCCAAACCGAGTAGCCAATGAGAAATCTTAATCGGGAAAAAGTCGGCTCATCTATGTTTTTACTAATAATTTACATTGAAAAAATCATCTCCAATTGCAATGAAAAATCAATTGGATCAAAGCCATCAGATCGAAGGCCATGAAACTATAACTTCCTCTCTTCTCTCTTCTACCTCAGCGTGATCCATCTCTCTGAAACTGACCAATTGGCTGCTTCATCACAAGCCAGTTCACGAATCCGATCCAAAGGTGATGAAATGTAACTCGAAAATGAAGGAACAGAGCTTGATTGAGAAGAAGATGATGATTGAGAAGAAGAAGATGATTGAGAGGAAACCCAATCTGGGAATTCAAAAGGAGATTTTGGTGAAGCTGAGAATTCTTCAAATGAACATCTCGGGGATGTTGATTCTTCTTCTTCTTCTTCGCATCGATTCATTGAATTTGAAACGATCTGATCATCACAAGCCATGAATGGATGATCTAGGAGCATCTCTGCCGTCCATCGCTTCTTCGGATCCTTAACAAAGCATTTTCCGAGAAAATCTTTTCCTTGTTCAGATAACTCTCGAGGAATTCCTGGCAATTCATCGGAAACCCCAATCTTAATCAACAAAGCCGCCATGTTCGTCCCTGGTTTGAAATTCCAAGCTGGCTTCCCAGTAAACATCTCAACAATGGCACATCCAAGTGCCCAAATATCCACCGCTGAATCATACACGTTTTCATTGACTGACTCGGGTGCGATATTCAGAGGAGTTCCCCTGATTTCCATCCTCCTCTTTTCTCCCTCTTCTTCTTCTTCTTCTTCTTCCCCATTTCGCTTCGCCAATCCAAAATCAGCTATCTTCACATCACCGTTACCAAACAACAGGATATTTTGAAGCTTAATATCACAGTGAACGAACCCTTTCGAATGAACAAAGCGTAGCCCTTTAAGTATCGATCTTGCGTATCTTCTAACATCGGATTCCATCAATCTCCCGCCGCTTTTCTTCAGCTGATCGGCCAAGCTTCCTTTATCCGCGTACTCCAAGAACAAATTATACAACCTCCCACCCTTTTCGACTGTGTGATTGCCACCTAAACAACGGATGATTTGGGGGCAAGAACCGATTCGATCGAGCACTTCCTTCTCGTTCTTCAGCGAAACAGAGTCGATGAGTTGGCAAGACTTGACAGCCATTAGAGGAGATTTCGAGAAGGCATTTTTGGGTAGCACCAAATTGACAGCGCCAAAACTTCCACACCCAATCGTCTCCCCTCGAACCCACTCCATTGGAAACTCGAGATTTCTTCAGCTTTGGGTTTTAGGATAAACAGAGTGCTTCTTCGTTCGTTTTGAGGCAAAACTGAGGTTACAGGGCGTGATTGTGGCTCAAAGACGACTCCTTCTATATATAGGGGGGTGGAATTGCTTTATTCATTTCATTTTAACTATTTTATTTGGTGGGAGTCGGCGTTCCAGATGAATTTAATTTTTCCTATAATTAATGCACGTGATAGGTGAGAATGTGTTGTTTGTTTCAAATTTCATATCTTAATTGAAAAACGTGGTGGATATGACACCTCCAAAAGGATTTTTACTCCATATAATTTATACAACGAAAAATAATAACATTATAATATCCAATAATTTATAATTTGACCATTTAATGACTACATATACTTATTTTCGTCTCATTAGATTTGTCTAATATTGATTTTTTAAAAATTAATTTTTTTAACATTGAATATAATTATTTTAAATGTTTTAAATAATTAATTTTTATAAAAATATATATTTAAAAATTACTATTTGATTAAAGATTTTTAAAATGTATTTTTTATATTTTATCAATAATAAATTTTAAATAATAATGAGTCAAAATTAAAAAAGATTAAAAAGTTAATAATAGATAAATTTTGTATGAGATCCGATCTGATTTGATAAGATTGTTTTTATAGAAAAATTAGTTTAGGTTTGTCTGGTCAAATTTTATGTAAGATGAAATCAAGTTAAGTTTAGTTTTGGATTTAAAATAAAAAAAATTTCTGGTTATTCCGAGATAATTTCTTTTACAAATTTAGAGATAATTACTATACTATTTTCTCTCTATATTTTTTTAATTATGTCTTTATTTTACCGAATAAAAGTAATGTTGTCCTTGGTGAGTGGTGCTTTGATTTTTCTAAATTCCTTGGTATTTGTCCTTGGGATCGATAGTATGAAAGCAATCAATGTATTGAAGGATAATTTTAAGAGGAGTTATTCTCAGAAATGGCATTTGAATGAGATTCGACGACGAGATTGGAGAGTTATTATTCAACATGTACATTGGGAGGGTAATAAAGCAGCTGATATAATGACTAAGAGTGCTAGATCTGAGAGTTTGGATATTATGTATTATGTTGATCCTCCAGGTTGGATTCTTCTATTGTTGCATGAGGACTTAGCTCATCGGTAATTATGTGTAATTGTGTTTTTTGCTTTGATATTAATATGGTTACTCTTTTCCTCCACTTAGGTTTAGGGAAGTTTTTAACGAGGCCTATACTAATACTCCATTGTGTATGGTCTCTTTATAATGGAATCAGATCTTTCATACACCAAAAAGAGTAATTTTTAATATATTTATATCAGGTCGAGCCGAATAAATACTTTCACCTCAAAAATTCGAGTTGAATCAAGTTCTGGCATAGGAAATATGATGTTCGATTCGGATCAAATCAGATGGACTATATATATACTACTAGAGTCGGATCGAATTCGAGTGGAAGATATGTGCTCTTTAGGTATCGTGTTGATCAAAAACTCGACCAATTGTCAACTCTATAGCATATTTTAAGGTTCATTAATTGGTCGAGTGATCAAAGAGACTCATGATGTTTCATCTTATGTGAATTCAAATCCTGACATTTGTCTTAAAAATGTAATACATCTCTACTTAATAAAAAAATATGTAGTATATTTAAAAAATTAAAAGGATAAGAAGAATTTTTTTTTTACATTACAAGGATAAGATTTTTTTTGAACAATGACAATTGGATTTTATTAATAAATAGAATGAATCAAAATTACGACGCATAAAAATAAAGAGATAAATTTAGAGATAATAGTTACCAAAATACTCAAATAAGAATAAATAATAAACCTAATAAAAATTACGAAGAAAATTCTCAGACCCAAACAAGGATAAGAAGTTATATTTTAAGAATAAAACAAAACAATATATGGAAGATGCAATGAGACATTTAATATGGCATGAGATGGCGGTGTGGGATTGGGATAACTCCCAACTGCTGCACAAATAATCAAAATTCTCGGAATCAAATTGGCCAACTTGTGTGAAACCAAACCCTATATGGCATGTATCTCATCGGGGGGGGGGAAAGTAAAGAAAAAGAGGTCAGCAGACCTTAACCATCACAAGTTGGGCACGTTCTAAGCCACTCCTGAAGTTTGTTGGCCACCGCCCTTGCCTTGTATCTTACCCATCCAATCGTTCTCTGCTTTCTTTGCTTTTCTTACTTTACAATTCTTTCTTCCTTCCTACTTCTATACATGTACTTTACATCTTGCCTGCCCTCTACTGCCTAATTTACTTTTTCAATCTTATGTTACATAAATGGACTTCTATATAACTTTTGGTCTTAAAACTGAAGTTCTATTTTGTTATTGTATGTTACTCTGGCCTAATATCATACCTGAATTTGGCCTATGCAACATGTTCCTCTTTAAATAACGACACACCACAATGAAATAAGTTTTATGACTCGAAGTAACAAAATTTGTAAATAAAATTAACTTTATGAGTAGAATTTGGGGGCGTTTAGGATTATATATATAAAAAATTTGAGTCGAGGGTAATTCTGTCCAGGGCAAGAGGGCGTTAAGAATCTTTTATTTAAGAAAAACACGGAACTTGACTTAGCCACCCTACTTTTCCAGACCCTATCAAACTACTTTAGACAACATCAAGTTTACGGAACATGTATTTAACGGGCCACGTGACGTGAGCCAAGATGCATCGAACCGTAGCTGAAGCCGACGGCGTCTATATTACGTAAGCACATAGCCTAAATATGAACCTCGACGGCCGACGGTCCACAAACAAAGTATTTCAGCCAGCAGCAATAACTAACCAAAGCAAATTGAATCATGCAATGATTGATGAACCACGCCATCAAACGCAGAGTTTTATACCAAATTATCTTTACAGTATCAGTTCAATATAAATAATTTAAAAAAACTTTTAATGTTAATTATTGAGTTAATGTGAAAATAAGCCATTAAACTATACTTTAAGTTAACTTTAGGTGCTTAAATATTTTTTTTGCTTAAAATGAGTGTTTAACATTTTTAACGTTATAATTTTAAATACCTACATTATAACATCAATTTAAAAAAAATCGTTAAATCACACATGTCATATATATATATATATATATATATATATATATATATATAAGTTTTATTTAAAAAATTAAAAATATTATCTTTAAAAAACCTCAATATTTTTCTAAAATCCCAAAAGAAGAAACTCAAATCCCTAAAATTTTTATTTTCAAACCCCTCATTACCTATGTCAACCATTTCTGACCACATCGTCGGTGTCAAACGGTCACCCATCCATCGTCGATCATCTACCAATTTGTTATTGCTGAAAATTCTCTAAGCCCCTAAAATTAACTTAGCGTATAGGTTTGACATTTATTTTTGTATCAAACTTTAATTATTTTATAATTCACACTTATTCCCATCAAGCTTTATGAAAAATACATACCCTAGTAATATTTATGAATTAATTAAATTAAAAAAGAACTTATCATTTACTAGCCACTTATTGTTATTTTTAAATTTCTATAATTTTTTAAGATTTTAGTTATAAAGATAATTTCGTAAGGACATTAAATACTATGTTATGAAATACAAGAGATATCATGTATTTATATTTTTTGTGATTTTATAGTTGATTATTAATTTTTCTCGTATGTGGTGACAGAGATAAAACTGAACTATATTAAATTTTGTCACTTACGTGTATTATTTTTATTTATGTTGATATCATGTTTTTCTTTTGCTTTTAAATTCTTAACAAATTTGAATAATATATTTTATTTTAGGTTGTGTTTATTTACCAAGTTGAAATAAAATAATAAATTTATTTAAATTCAGTTATAAAATGAAAATACCCCATAATTTAAAAAAAAAAACTCCTATTAGAAATGTTGGCAACGTGATGAGTTGAATATACATGAACATGAGTTGCAGCCTCTGGTAGTGGGGAGTTCCTATCTGGTATGAGGTCATGCATATGCAACCTTTTCAAAGGTTCATGGAATGGTGGCCAAGCAGGCAGCCCTATTGACTCTGACCCTTGCCCTAGTTTTTGCTCTCTTTGTAGATTGCCCAACTTGTTTGCTTTCTGCTGGACTACAGTTGGTGGGGTTTTATTATCATTTTGAGCCTGCATTCATCAAATTCATCTTGTTTGATTCAGCTTTTGGACCTACACATGTGAAATCTTCTATCCCCAAATCATGAGAGATTCTCTCATAAGATTTTTTTTGGCCTTTTTAATTATTAGAAATCAAATTAGCCTCAAATTATTTGAGTTTGAATTTAAATTTATTTATATAACTATTGAACTGAATTTGGGCTTGAACGGTTTGAGTAATCAGTTAACTCAAATTCGAGCATCATATATATATATATATATATATATATAAACATTATTAATAATGTTTGGTTCAAGTGGTAACCATCTTAATATTGTTTAAGCAAGGTATTGAGCTCGAATCATTGTGTATGTACAAAATCTATGTCGAAAGACTTACCACCAAAGCCAGAGTGCAAAGCCTTGGAACCTGGAGGGGAAAATTGCGTTAGGTTGGTTTTGGTGAGTATAGAAGTAGGGATGAGAATGAGTCGGGTCCGGTCGGATTTTTGATCCTCCCGGCCCGACCAAAAATTTATAAATTCTTCACCCGAACTTGATCAATTTTTTTGAGATAAAACCCAAATCCGACCAAAAAAATTACACCTTCCACCCGACTCGAATCCAACCGGATTTTTTAAATAAAATCCAAACTTGACTCGATCGGACCTAAAATAATGTATTTATTAAAAATATTATTTTTAGTCGATTAAAATAGATATTTAATTGAAAAAATAATATAGAGAGTGATATTATTACAATTATCCCTAAATATATAAGATAAAATTACAATATTTTTCGGGTAAAGTATTTTTCAATCTAAACTTGAACCCGACCGATCCAGACATAACTTTAAAAAATTTGGGCTTGACCCGAACTCTTTTTTTAAAAAAATCCGACCGTCGGGTTCGGATCCCATGCTATCCCCATATGGAACTGCTGAGCTGCTGAACTTGGGAAAATTAGGTAAGGGTTTAAATTTAGGGTTGATTGAAACTGAGTCTTTGATAGTAAGCTCATTCGGTACGTAGCATTAATCTAACAAATCTACCACCTACCATTCAACTTTACGTTTACTCTTTTTACTGAAAATTCAATGCTTCTGATTCCTCTATCAAACCTTCTGTTTTAGGATCTTCCAAATCCCAACGATTTTTTTTTCATCCAAACTGTTATTTTATCTCATTGCTCAAATCATTGTCCAATTGGGCACACCGTTATATGTCTCTATTAATTTACTAACTTAAAAAACCAACGGATAAATAATTTTTACACAAGAAATTAGCAAAAACCAATGATTTCAAAATTCTATATGTAATAATTAATAATTTAAATTCACGTGATTACTAACAAATTATTTAATTTCTTAATTTTTATAAAATATAAGGAACAATTAACCAATTATCAAAGTATACGACTGACATTCATAATTAAACTTAAATTTAGTGAGTAAGTGGTCGAATATTATAACCAATTAACCATAACACGTTTCTTATGTAACCTTTACCTCAGCAATTACATGTACAAAAAATCATAAAGAATACCAAATTTAGTTACAATTTGTTAGGTAGAAATACCAATCCACCCACCTGCGTTGCCCTTTCCCATTCAATTGAAGACTACTTTAGTTGGATGATCTAACTGCCAAAACAAGAAGAGATAATATTCAAGCGGATGGATCTAGTCGGGGTGGGTGGAGACGATTAACCCCAAATTTAAAATTATCATATATTTTAAGTTTTTGTATGTATTTTTTATTAAAAAATTGTTTTCTCCTCTAAAATTTTATAACTTCGAGTTCGTCCCCTAGAATTTTATAAATTCAAATTCATCTTTCAAGCATAAAATCATCTGCCCGACCCTTTATTCAAGGCATGACTGTTGATTGAAATAAATCCCATCAAGACTACAGCCACTCTAATTTGAATCCCTGTTGACTGGTTGATGAACAACTGAAGTTTTTAACATTTAAATCGTCAAATTTCAGGAATATCACTCTTTGATCACTCCTATCAGTTTCATACAAAAAAAGGAGAATGATCAATCTTTGGTTTGAACTAGAATCTTATTGATTGAATTTCGGAGAACTGGAGCACAGCTATGATACTGCTGAGCAAATCTAGTTTGATATGACATCCGCTTAAGAAAAGTGTATTTGGCATCCAAAGTGGGAAATGAGAGATTTCTTGGTATCCTCAAAGGATTGAGAAATCAGTGCAAGTCGAAGGCTTTTGACTCTCGATGATGGTACACGGTTCCTACTGCTCGGACTGTATTAAACCATATTCCTCTCATCGCTGCATGAATTTCGCCGCTGTTTCAGGTGGGAGTATCGAATGACTATGATGATGCGTGTCGACAATACGCGGAATCAAGGCCTGCTAATTGCGTGCTTTTCACCACAATACACTCCAACCGCCTACTTATGTACGGCGTTAATGGGCCTTGGTTATCAAATTGCCCCAAGAGCACTCATATGTGGGCTTCTCCATAAGTCAACACGTCTGCTGAGGCAAAGTTGCCTATGTTATGCCTCTCACATTCACCACCCAACCCAACCACTGAACTCTCGACAAGTATATATATATACTTGAATCATCAAAGCTTCACAATCTGGAAAGAGGTTGAAGTTCCATGGCAGCATTTGAGAAACTTGTACAAGCGAAAGGAGATCCATCTTTGCTGATGATAGAAGAATATCAGTGGACCACTCTCTGGGCATTGTAATTATTTGCACTGTCATTTTCCTTGAGTAGAAAGATGCAATCAAAGTAGTGTGATAATTTTATGCAACAGTATCATTTCCACGAGTGTTTTTTTTTGGTTTCTTATTTCACTGTAATTTTGGGTCCCCGTGTGGCCTCGGGAGCAGGATGGAGAGGAGGTTATCTGATACACACAACTGAGCAGATTATTTAAATATTGTCTTCGAGTTACTGGAAATGTCTTGAATCTCAAACCCCCAAGTGCACTTCAAATGTACCAGTCATGGTCTTTGATCATGTAGATATGGTACATGTACTATTTCGAACTTATTTAATCTGTTGAATACCTGTACATTTAAAAACGAAATACATGAATTGACGGTAAAAATCTCAGTTCCTTTTCAATTCAATGAAATTGTCTTATACACACATTGGTGAAGACTGAAACTACAAAGCAGAGCCTCACGAATGGAAGGTGTCAGTTGAGCAACAAAGTGAGAAATTGCAGCACCCGAAGCCACCATTTGCATAACTGCAGTTGCAGTGGAGGGCATCACCTTCACCCTTCCAACCACCTTGTAAAGTGTGCCAAAGGCAATGATGAGAGAGACCAAAACTGTGCCCACTGCCGTCTACTAATACTACCCTTTAAAAGTTCAAAATCCCACTTCTGTGATCTATCATCCCAATGTTACCGGAATCTTTATGAAGCACCGGAACCACCAATGGGTTGATTCTCCTGACAAACTTCATGGTAAATGGAAGAATATTTTTTTAAGGCAAAGCAAGTCCTTAAGTGTACTTAGGGATGGCCATGGGTCGGGTTTCGGCCAACCCGACCCAAAAATTTAACATCCTTCACCCGATCCGATCCTATCCGAAAATATATACCTTCTACTGACCTGATTTTTTGAGATAGAATCTAAACCAGACCCGACCTGAAATAATAAAAAATATTATTTTTATTCAAGAAAAACAGTGATTTAATTGAAAAATAATACATATAGAAGTATTATTGTAATTATTTCTAAATATATAAAGTAAAATTATATTTTTTTAAGTCGGGTCTAATCGGGTATTTTTCACTCTAAACCCAAATTCAATCGGACCCGACTCGAATATCACTTTTAAAAAACTCGATCCGACCTAACCTAACCTAACCTTAATTAATTTAGATAAAATCAAAACCATTCGGGTTTGATCTCATGCCCATCCCCAGGTGTACTTAATGGCAGACCGTAAAAAAACAAAGTGGTTCATGCACCTTCTTTGAGCAATATCCTTGAATCCAAGCCATCTAATTTGTGGGCCTAAGGATATGACAAATTTACTAAATCGGAGGGCTGAATTTAGAGTTAGCCCCACGTGATGGGCGGTAACTATCAGAGTCCAGAGATCACACATATACAAATCATAAATGCGTTTTTGGGACAGGGAACTTTCCTACAAACTTTGCATAAATATATATATATATATAGAGATTGGCCACAAGTTATATAAAGGCCTTTCACATCTTTGCTAGATATTAGTTGTACTTTCTAAATACAACTTTTCATCTCTCTCCTTTATCTTCAGCTCTGTGCATCTTTGATTAAAAACAAAAACCCTAATTCTATCAAAGCTATATCTTCTGTCAGCTCAGCTCCTCGCCCATCTCTCTGACATTTCAGTCTTTCAGCTTGTTTCTTTCAAACAGTGCTTTTTCAAAAGGCCAAAGAGTATCAGATAGCTAGTTTGCGTGAAGGTTCAATGGATGTTGACATGATCAAACCCTCAGTAGCAGAAGATCACATGGATATGATGACAATGATGATGCAAATGGAAAAGCTTCCTGAATTCTGTGAGTCGCCACCTTTCAAGACCTATGAATTAAACTTCTCCAATGGGACTTCAAGCTCCACGATCTTACCTACACCACCCATTTACCCTAACCCCATTAATGATCCTTCTTCACTCAACACATTCATGGCCTTGCCACCTTCCAATTTATCATTCATCGGCAATGTCCAAGCTCAAGAACCCATGGCTCCACCTCTTCAATCCAACAACAAATTGAAGTATCAATCTCTTTTCAATAACTCCAACTCGTATCCTCCTTCGGTAGATAAGAAGAACTCGATGGCAGCTATGAGGGAGATGATCTTCCGTATAGCGGCAATGCAGCCGATTCATATAGACCCGGAATCCATTAAGGCTCCGAAGAGAAGGAACGTGAAGATCTCAAAGGATCCACAGAGTGTGGCCGCCAGGCACAGAAGAGAACGGATAAGTGAGCGGATAAGGATCCTGCAAAGACTCGTTCCGGGAGGCACTAAGATGGACACTGCTTCTATGTTGGACGAAGCTATTCATTACGTCAAGTTCTTGAAGAAACAGGTTCAATCCCTGGAACAAGCTGCTGTGAATAGACCGATGGGCGTAGGGTTTCCCACTGCAGCAATGGCTAATGTGGGCTACCCCTCTTTGGCGAAAGCTTGCCAGCCATCTCATCATTACCAAGTTGTAAGCAATATGCGGATGCTTAGATAATTTAGAATTCAGTTCTTTGATTTGTGTAATGGGCAATAACCATGTAATGCGTTTGGATTTACTTGTAAAGTGTGGACTTCACTTGTTCTTGGTGCCACAAAGGATCCCATCATATGCTTTCATTATCTATGATTAAACTTCTTAATATTATTCTCTACATATATCTCTAATATTGTTACACCCATCCAACGATTAAAGATTTTATCAGCAGAACATGACAGTAACTTTAAGAATTTCCCATGCATAATGCACTCGAGTTATTTGATTAAATATTATTAGATTTTTGTACTCAACTCACTTTGATATGAGCCCTGTTACACATTAAATTCGTATATGAGTATATTTCTACTCTTATAGCTCAATTAAAAGTATGAAAACCAATTTCACGTAAGATATAAGTATATTTTATTAAGTAGAGAGGTATTATATTTCTAAAAAAATATCAGAATTTCAACTCACGATAACATGAGTATCTTGACCACTCAACCAATTTAAGAGATTTCAATATATTTTTTGCGATAGTTTATACTTATTGTTATTTTGTAATATATATTAACTAATGTTTGGTACTTTGGTGCATTGGGAGAATAATTAATTTGAAATATTTCCTCTTCCATGCAATGAAAATTCCTATACATACATTTTGAGGGTTACCGTACATTGTTCAAGCTTGTATTATATAATTATATTCTTAATAGCAAATTCTTCAATACATGTCATGTACTGAAATATACCACTAATTTTGAAGGTAAAATTTTTAAATGGTCATTAAACCATGCTAAAATACTCCTTTTGAACATTGAACTTTTAAAAGTTACATAATATATCATTTAATCAATCCTTCAATTGTATTGCAAAATGAATATTACATCTTTAATTATCATTGAAGGGATAACTTAACATGTTAAATTAACAAAAAAAAAAATCTCATTCAAACTTCAATTATAAACTAAATTTCATTTTGATATTTTTAAATATTTTAAAATAATAATTCTAAAAAATCAATTATATATATGTATATAAATTCACGATTCATTTTTAAAAATATAAAAGTATTTTTTTAAATTATAACTTTATAATTAATCTTTTAATTCATAAAATTATAATTATTTTTTAAAAAATATGAATTTATTAATTCACCAAATTTTTTATAATTAATTTTTTTATTTAATTGTGATTATATTTGAAATTTTATAATTTATAATTTTTGAAATGTAATAATTTCAGTTATAAAAATGAAAACATTTTTTTATTAAAACAATGTGATTCAATTCTTTAACTTTTTTTGAATAGTTTTAAATATAATTTTAAAAATATATTTACAATTTCAAAAATAAATTTTGAAAATCCAGATATTTAAAAAAAATTCTATTTTTTTGGAATTATTACTTAAAATTATTGAAAAATATCAAAAAAAAAAATTAGTCACAATTGAAGGAGCAAATGAGATTTTTTTTATTAATTTAATATGTCACATTAGTCCTTAACGAGAGTCAAATATCAATACTTCTTTTTAACAAAATCTAAAATTTAACATTCATTTTATAATTTTTTAAAAGTTAAATGATCAAAAAGATCATTTTATCATAGTTTAATGATTATTTATAAATTTATATCGGTATATATTGTGACGTGAGCTGTAGAATCATCCTATTCTTAATAGTCGACACGGTCCATGCCAGTTTTCATTTTATTAGGTTTGAATGCTTCATTTGCCATTGGATTGATTTAAGTTAAATTTGTTTTCACCATAAGAAGATTGACAGATACCAACGTCGGGTTTTTCAGTTCGCGGTTCCTTTTTATTGTAATTAAAAAAAACTAAGAGATTTCTCTCACAAAATATTACTTTACTTGAACTCTTTAAAGTTATTTGAATTCTCCCTGACAGCTAGATAAATGATCCTAAAAATAGATATATAAAATAAAGAAAATATATATTTTAATTTATATAAAAAGTTTAAAAAGAGAAAAAGTACATATTTTTTTTACTATTGATAGTAAATTATAAGAAGATTGTATAAAAATATATAATAATTTCAAAGCTATATATATAATTGTATAAACATAATAACTCGTAGCTTATACGTCCTTATATTCACCATAAGTTTTTTATTTTTCTATTTTGAATTCTTAATAAGTCACACTTTTAATTTTTTAAATTAGACAAAAAAATCCGAATCACATACTCTAATACTAATAAATTTCAAACAATCGATGAGGCATCGACGATGATGGTTGATAAATTTAGGGACTATGATTTAGGTATTAAGGCTTTAGGGATTTTCGAGAATTCATGGTTTTTGTCGATTTTTTTATATAAATTTTGGAGTTTAAGACTTTTTTAGGCATCAAAATAGTCGTGACAAAATGATGTCGATTTGGTGAGACATCTACGTCAACAACGTCACGACACAAAACTTTCATGTCATCGTCCCCTTAAGTCATTAATGGCAAATAAACATCTTTGACCATTAGTATTTTATAAGTAGCAGTTAGATATATATATATATTCTATGTATAATATTAAATGACGCGAACGTGGGTGGTAGGTTGCCTCCCAAGGCAGGGTCGACTAGTTTTAGTGTTGATGTCTAAAGGGTCATGCCTCACTTAATCAATTCCATAACAGTCCATTTCTGCAGAAAATGATTTAAAAAATGGGAAATGAAAATGGTCAAAGGTAATGTAATGAAGTAGAGGGCATGTGAGATATCCCACTAAAGGTCCCGACATCCCCACACAAGGGTATGTATTTAGTATTTAGTAAACGGGCAATGTTCATTGCACCCCTCCTCTGACACATTCTATCTTATTTCATGCAAAAATCCATTTTATCCATCTACTTTCTCTTTTCTTTTCTTTTCTTTTTCAATTTTAAGATAAGTTCTCATGTTCATTGTGACAGGATAAATGGTACATATTCATGGAAATTTTATTTTCTTTATTTGGTCGGTTTATCCTCACTAATTTGAAAATAAAATTTAAATTTTGCATTAAAACTCCTAATTTGAGCTATAAGCTCTTGTTATTTTTATGATTTTCTAATATTTTTTAAATTAAAGATGATTATATTAAAATAAATTTAAATCGACGAATTTAAGAAATATTAATCAAATTAAAATTTAATTCATAATTCCTTCGAACTAACAGTTGTGAATGAGTCGGCTGGTTATTATTTGATTGACTTGGTAGAAACAGGAAAATAAATAAATAAATAAATAAATAAATAAAGGGCATAGAGAGGCGCCTGCAAGCAATGGAACTTGGGGGAGGTGAGACTATAAATGAAGGGTTGGTTGGGTGGCTTTGGTGGGAAATGGATGATGCTTTAAAGAGAGGGAGGTAGATCTAATGTTCTTCGAAGCATGAAGATGTTGTAAGACCTCTGACACCGATTTGGATAACTTTGTACATGTTTATTGTTTATAGTTTTTTCAATATGTTTTTTTTTTATCTTCGGTATAATTTATTTATTAATCATTAACCGATTAATCCAAAATAAGTACTTCAGAAGTCTAATATTAATATAACACTCCCAATTTAATTTGTTTCATTCGCAAATGTCAGTGTTCGAACATTTGATCTCACTTAAAAATTAAATGTCTATATCTCACTAAATCAATTAATTATTAATTTTTTTTCGATGTCTTTTAATTTGGAATCTTATTATGTATTCATTGAAGCCCAATCCATTAAATGCTCTATTTTCTTGCGGCAATATTGGGCTTTTTAAATCATGAGTTCTACTTAAAGGCCCCCAAGCCGTGTCCGGGGAGGAGCTTGGGGCCTTGAGTTTTGCAGTGACAGTTTAATTTGGTACATGTTTTTCCTTCTAATCTTTATTTGAAGCCGTTCCCTCACAAGTTCTTAACCTTGAGGTCGTGGGATCGAGCCCCACGGAGGGTATTTCATAATTCGGAGGTCTCTTACGGAAGCTGCTCTCAACCTGGTGTTAGGGGTAGCCTACTATCTTACCTCTCCCTTACCTCATACATATGAAAAAAAGGGACAACCATTTCTTGTAGCATTTATTTGCATTGGTGGAGTAAGTGCAACATTTTATAGAAAGTAAGAGGTGCTGGGCAAACGGGTTTTTTATTTAGCCTATTAGGGCACCTGTTTTTTTTTATTTCGGAGAATACGATAATTGCTATAGTAATCAGTGACGAGTTTTTTAAGATATTTTTTTAATGAACCCGAATGAGTGATGCTCACGTGGATCATTAATTTATTGCAATTAACAGGATTCGTCTCCTCCATTTAAAAAATATCTTTTAAAATAAATTGAAATAATAATTTAAATTTTAAAACTTAAAAAAAATTAATGAAAATCATCACCTCGAGGTGACTGTTGTTGTTACCCATTGATCAACTACTACTATAAACGGCTACTTTTTTTTTTTGAATTTAAATGAACCCGTCACCTCGACGAGTTCCATTAATTTTTTTTTAATTTTAACATTTTAATTTTTTTTATAATTTATTTAACAAATATTTTTTTTAAATAGACTCGTCACCTCGAGATGGCGTGTTCCATTAATTACATTAAATTAATAGCCTATGTGGGGTCTACTCATCCGGATCCATTAAAAATATATATCCAGGGAACGAGGTGATGAGTTCCAGCATCACTGTAGCGATTGTTGTATTCTCCAAAATAAAAAGTCGGGTGCCCTAATGGGCTAAATAAAAAGCCCACTTGCCTTAATGGGCCAAAAAAGCCAATGTTCTGTTCTCCTGCTTTGCTTTGGGCAGTGCAGTTTGTAGGATATGACAACTTTCATTCTTCTACAAATTCAAATTTATGGGCAGAGAGAAGCTATTTGTAGATAAAACATTAAAACTGGTGCCGAAATATCAGCCAAAAAGCAGCAACAGACCAAACAACAAATTGTAAAGACAGATGGGAGCCATCGAGAATTAAGGGAAGCTGTCCTACAATAATGAACCCACCAAATTGACTAAATAACAACAATCCCTTTCACACAACACTCCAA